AAGAGATTTTTAACATCAGAAAATTTATAAGTATTATTATTCGACGCCACGTATTGCTTTATGTTGGCCCCAATCAGCTCACAATGGTAGGGTGGCAGTCTCAAGACAGTTTTATTTTGTTTTTTGGCCATTTCGTCGATCATTTTAAAATCGTATTTGTATTTATGTCTATTGACTATACTTATCAATTCACCCTTGACCATTGTTTCATCAAAATCGATCTGTTTTGAGGCCAGCCATTGTTGTATGTTTGCTTTTTTAGTTGCCATTGTGGGAATTTTTTCTATTTTTCTAGAATGGTACGGGGCATTATCCAGTACAATAACAGCGTTATTCTCCAGCTTTAGTAACATTTTGGAGAACCAATTTTCAAAGGAATTGCCGTCCATCTCCTCATGATAGTCCCCTGTCTTTTTTGATTCAAAGGTCCACAGTGCTTCGGGAACAAAGCCGTCTTCACTACCTACGTGACAAATGATCAGCCGTTTGCCTTTTCCTGGAAATAAATTATTCCTTACACTATGGATTGATTAAATTTGAAGGAATGAGGCAATTGAGTTCATTTAGCTGAATTTAAGAGTCACGGAATGCTGATCAAAAACTGAAAAACATAGAAAATTGAAGTTTGCAACTTCTCAAAACCCATTCAAAGCAAATTGACTGCACCCAAAAATGATAATAAATTTCAAAATAACGCTTAAAAGAGGGTCGAAGTGTTTTTCCTAATGACTACACTGCGAATGCACCATTTTTGGAGAATATCACACATTATCTGCTATCACAGCATATTATTTGCCCGAATTTATCAAAATTAAATTGCCGGATAGATGAAGGAGCTTACCTGCAGGATTTTTCAATCCAGCCGAAAGACCGTCTAGAAAAGCCTGCCTTGATGATGTTACTGATTTGTCGACCCAAACTTTCGCTTGAGTATCTCCAGCATTCACCCACGTTTCGTCCAAATAGTAAATTTTTATTTTTTCATCGCGAAACTTCCGAATCTTCCTAAGGTATTCCCTTCTCCACACAACAATTTCTTCTTTCTCTATTAACATACTGTTTCTTCCCCGTTTCAAGAATCGAAAATTAAGTTCCTTCAAAAGTTTTCGGAATGTGGTTCTTTTAAATGATGGAAGATCCTCATCAGCATTAACTAATCTTAATATCTTATCTACTGTAGGTATCTCATTTCGGAAGAAAAAATTATGCACTTTCCTCCTGATGGCAGTTCTGTCAAAGTCATCTACTCCGTCCGTTATCCTTTTTCTTGCAGGATACGGTTTTGGCTCAGAAAGTGAGTGAGTGCTCCTATATTCCTTAATGATCCTATAAACACTGGACCGACATACTCCAGAAATATGTGCTACCTTACATATAACTTCGTCCACGACCAAATCGGGTTTTTCTTGAATTTGGTTTTTGTATATACGTATTTAATATTATTTGTTTTTCATTTGCACTTAAATGTAGCTTCTTAGCCCTTTTTTTGGGTGGGGTTGCGCTGATGTCAACCACTTCGTCGGCTGTATCTGTGTCAGACATCGTATCTTAGGCAATATATAAACAAAACGTTCCACTCGCGAAAAACGAGTATACGTTACTGAATGCGTAATGCGTATGCAATGCAATCCTGTGCGTGAATTAACTGTTAGATGCCTGTCGTATCATCTACAATCACGTTTACAAGTCCAAACCTGTGCAGATTCGTAGAGCGCCGACGACTGCTAGTGACCTTGAATTTGTCTGTAGATCGATGTTACTCCAGTCAATTTAGGTTCAAAGTGGATGTTTTCTAAACCAATTTGTTGTTCCTACATCAAAAATATATCGATGATGTTTTGTACTGGGAGCTCATGAAAGATCAAGGTAACTTATTTTAACAGTCATCCTTTTTCTAGTCTCAAGATGACACGAAAAAGGGTCTGTGGATTCACTAGAAATACACTGCCGAGGATGTTTAGACCTAAAGTGACTGGAGTATATCCGTGGATGCTTTCGAGGGATCTGTTCACGTGCTGATCACTGTTTACGTTTAATGTCTTTCTTCAGCGCCCAGAGTTTACTCATAAGTTTATTGGAAACTGATATTTGTTTTATTCCCAACAGGAGGATTCAGAATCTACTGTTCTACCCCATTCCCAACAAGAAGATGAGGCTCTTCCAACATCAGGTGATGATGGATCAAGCACATCACTAAGTGTGTCATCATCAACAGTTATATCGAGGGTACCAAAGACGCTATGTAAGAGAAAAAAGATGCTGACTCCGGCAGATGAGGTGATACAGCTTGCGGGAGAGCAGCTACAAAGTATTCGTACCTCGATTCGTACTGATGATGAGTTCGATGCCTACGGAAAGTATGTAGCTCATAAGCTACGTTTTCTTAGAGGAAACCAGGCCATATTCGCTAGAAAACTCATAAATGACGTGATTTTTGAGGGGGAGCTTGAAGCACTCACCAAAGATTTCAAAGTAACAAACATTCAACCACACCGTTCATTCGAAAGTAATGAGTATCAACAATTTAACTCCCAACTTTACCGACAGCAACCCTACCCCCCACCGTACATCTCACGAATGCCCGACCATCAACCGTACCCACAACAACACAATCCTCGTTGTTCCAGTGATAACATTCTACAGCTCCCAAACGTTCCAGCATTATACCTCCAAACTCTCAACCATGATACTCCTGAAGTCTCTAACGTGACACTACCAAACGTTCAAACAAATAAACCTGAACAACCCAATGCTCACCGATCAGAATCACAACAACTCAACAATGCTTCAGCCTTCTTTTCAAATTTCTCGGCATAGCAAGACATTAATGTTTCACATTCCATGATTATTCACTTTATATTGTATTATATTTCGTTACTTTAAAAGAAAATTAAAAACTAATATATAGACAAATATGTTTTATAATAAATAAAGCATACCTGGATGTATTGTTGTAATACTTTGTAGATAGCTTCACAGGTTTCTGGGATTATTGATCTGAGAGCTGGCTGAGAAATCGCAGTAGAATATTCCATGTCCTTCAAGGTTCTTCCGGTGGCAAGAAATCTTAAGGTAGCTAAGAGTCTTTCGTGAGGGGATATCGCTCTTCTCATTACAGTATCATGTTTCGCAATCAACGGAGAAACTGAGCTTAACAACTCAAGATAAGTCCCCTCGTACATCCTCAAATAATTTCGCCAGTCATTTGAGTCACTACTAATTTCTTGCAATAAGTTCACATCAGAGAATTCACTCTTCTTCAGTAACCACTCGCGACTCCACTTGGATCTGGGTTTCCGCGATTTTTCCTTTTTTTTACTCACTAAACATCCGATTAATACTGACAGTAGTACTGCTTCCTCCATGGCTACAGCATTTTATGGGGTCTATAGCTGGAGACGATAGAATGTGACAAGGAATTGTTACAATTTCACGGAGCGTGTAAACAGTACCCCACCTTGGATTTATCGGAGCAATAAATTTGCCAATCACATCATCGATAAATCGCGACGATATCTCGTAGCGTGTAATGCCGCCTTTAAGAAGTAGCTTCGAGTACTACAATATCCATGCTCGATGTTTTTCGGCAGAGGGCTGTCGATCAGTGGATCGATGGCTCTTCTCTAACGGACAGTCTCGCGACCCTTTCGCATCAGCTGGCCGATGGCGATCTAGCTCTCTTCTACCGCTACGCCAATGGGATTTGCTTCTGAGAGCTCTCCTCCATGATGCCGCCGCGCGATGTGCCTGCCAGACAGACCCGCCTGACTTTGACCTCCCATCCTAACCGTGTCGAACTTCGTACATCCAGAACTGGCCGATACGACCGCTCTTTTATCCCTAGGAGATGGATTTGCTACTCTCAGGATATCGATATTGTGGAACAATCTACATGAGGAGGCTTTTCTCAGTTCTGCTAACCTTAGACAATACAAAAATCGGTGTAAAAAATACACGCCATCCTTTGAAGTTGATTTGAGAAAGAAAAATGCAAAAAACGGGACCGCCCCGAGTGTCAGTCAACAAGGATAACACGAATGTGTGGAGATTTATTAATAAAAAACTACGAAACCTCAAAGCTGAAATGAAGCTTGTAGATAAAGAATACGAATTGTATTTCGAAAGTATAATACAGGAGAACCTACCACATCCAAAGAAGAAAAGAATGACAGTTTAAACATGTATCTTCTGATACTGAACACTTTATTATTATCATTTTTATCTGTTTTAAATAATAAAGAACTTGACACTTCTTTTGTTGTTATTCTACCACAGTTTCATTTTCAGCGGATAAAGGAGTTATGTACATTTTTTGCAGTTTTTTTAATAAACTAATAATCTTTCAGTGTCCTTAATCTAATACAATAAAAATACCGACATATATCGAACAAGTGATTTTAATCAATCGTAAAATAATTGAAGAAGTTTCAAATCAAATCACGTTTTCCTAAATAACTCTGAACTTGCATTTTGTGACATAACACCTTTATCCACTTATGTCTTCAATTATTTAATTACATTTATTAACTATATTAAAAAAATATTATATATAATAAATTAAAAACATAATTTTCATATACCTAGGTTAAATTAAACGGATAATATTTATCGAAGTTACTCTTTCGGAGCAGTACCTACTTGTCTCGTAGATAGAATAAAAACTACTGCTTTTTTACTTTGATACATTGATTTACTGCTTTTATGCCTGTATTTTGTAATTGTAATCGTATTGGTGTCATAATTTATAAAAGGCAGTAGATGAACTTTCTTTTATTTTACCTAGGCACGGCAGTATTAGGCTGTGGAGTGTTGGAGGCGGGTGGGGGCTTCTTGAGCCCCAAATCCCAAGTCCTGTTTTGTTGCAAAAAGAGAAAAATCGGATGAACGTTCAAAATGTGACGATCGCGTCGGGATACCTAGAATTTCTCCATGTACAATCTGACAACATCGCCTCCCGGAGCACTGAAAATCGCCTGAAAATTGAACCGCTGCGGCTTCACGTCAGTCCGCCGCGCCGCGACGATAAATCCGCTACTTCACAATCGGTCGATTTCATCTTTAAGCCCTTTAAATGAAAACGAAACCCGGTCACCCTTGAAGTCCCCAGTCGAAAAGACCCTTTTTAAAAACCGTAAGAACTTAGTGGAATGTGCCATTCAGTGTCAGTGGCTGAAAAGTGAGAATTTCAGCGCATCTAGTTGCCATATGAGGATAAAATGTTTCAAAAGCTGTATGGTGTGTGTTTATGTCATTAATATTGTAATTAAGTTGGCTATGTTTAGATTGTTGCGATGTTTTCATAAAAATCGCAGTATTACTAAGCTTGCTAGACGTCCTTTAGAATTTTGTAATGTCACAGCAACAAGTATAAAGGGTGAGACAGTTCTGAAATATTGATTAAGTCGCATTTTGTTATTTTTTATTTCACCAATTTACAAGATACCTACTGAGGGAACCAAGTGCGTTGTAAGCCTTTATTAATTTTATACAAAAGCTTGAAAGGCCGACAATCTTTGGCTTAATAAACCTTCAACTTAGTCTATTTAGGGACTCCCTGCGTTGGCCCATTTTCTTGTGTGTGCAGTGGCATTTAACCCCACGCTCTGGGGAGAAATAAACTGCATTCATAGCCAGATTTTATTGTTTGATTTATTCACAGCTTGCACCCAAATTGTACCTGATTTTTAAATTATGTTGGTAACTTGCTGTGTAGGGTTCACATTCAGGTATACCAGAACATAACAGGAAAACTTGGAAAAACATAGAATGGATTTTTAGTTTTCGTTTTCCGGTACATGTATACTACCGCAAATACCTAAGTAATGTATCATTACTTTCCGCTTGTCCTGAAGACAATACAAAATATCACTTTTTGGATATTCGATAATTTTAGAACTATAAAAAATGGGAGTTGTCATGCTTCAAATATAGCTTTCAGTTATTAAATAGGCCTTTGCCGGAGTTTTTGATTGACCCTTACAAACAAAACCAAAGTCACTTTTTAAAAATTATCTCTTGAAAAGACTTCGAGTCGATAGAACTTGAAACCTACAACGAAATTGAAATTTTACGATGGTTTCAAAAACATAAAAAACGTTGTTTTTTTGCTATAATCACGTTTTTTGAGCTTTGCCGTTTGCCCAATTTCATGACCCATTATATACCGTTTTCAGGCCAAAAATTAATATTAGGTATTTCTTGAGGCTGTATTTGGAAATGTGACGTAACGATTTCCCACAGAAATGCACAAAACGTAGAAAGATGATTTTTAGTTAGTTTTCATGATTGATCGAAATAATGTCTCATCGCCTTGTACTGTTATTCGAAATCTAAAAAAATGGACGCATAAACTGGACAAGAGAAAAAAAGCATTCAAGGAGATTACAGAACTAAATCCTTTAGAAACCCTTTCTGTTGTTTTCTCTATGTTTTTCCAATTTTAAAACAATATTTTTACAATTAGTGTGCCGTTTGACTAATTTGAAATAATATACAAAGAGCTATTAAAAATGATTAATGAAAAGTGAAGTCTCAAGGCGGTTTGAGATTCTGTGATGTCAGAGGTAGGTCTGTAGTACACAAAGACACTCCCACTGTGTGAACATATGTATGGCACATATTTTTAAATATTCCCACTTATCATTTTTTTTGTTATGCGCATTTATTTGAATCCTTAGGAATTGTATATATTTTTTTCTGAAGCATATGTCAAAAATAAAAAAAATTAAACAATCCAAAATAGACGTCAGAAATGACGCACTTTAAACATTGTTTGATGATCGTGGTTTCATGTAGTGTTACCAATCTTATCTTATGTGTTTGAATTCAGAATAGGCAAAATGAAAGAAAATATATTCTACATGACAATGATCCGACCAGCAAGAATTGCGCGATATTCTTCTCATGTCGGAGAAAGTTTGAGCAAACGGCAACCGCGCGATGCTATAGTAAACTCGATATAATTTTTTTACAGTACTGCAGCTTAAAAGTGTTAGTCTATTGGATCACTTTACCGGCTGCACCCTCTACAGCCCAAAAAGTATAACTTGGATTTTTATTAAATCTGAAGGCGCCAATATTATGATGGAAAAACAATAAATCTACAACTCCCAGGCTTCGTTTTCGTTCCTGCTAGTTTTGGTCGTGGTCAAAATCTGTTTAAAAGGAGTAAAGTTTTTTCGACGGCCTTCTATACGAAATCTTTCAGAAGGTACGAATATTTCGAAATAAGTCAAAAAGCATTTTCAAGTTCATCTACCAATCGTGCATTTTAGAGTCGCTATCTAAGTCAGGAAATTGGCAATGTTTTCTTCAATTTTTGCGACAGTAATTTTTACTTCATACGATGAAGTCACGAAAAATTTCCAAAATAAGATACGTTTTTTTTGTCTATCTGTCTGTCCGTCCATCCGTCCATTCGTCTGTATATCTGTCTGTCTGTTTGTTTGTCTGTCTGTCTACCTGTTCGTCGGTTTGTCCAGTGATCCTTGGCCCCTGTTTAACTTGGAAAGTACTGCTAGGATATGGATGAAACTTATTCAAAAGGTTTCTGCTACACCAAGGACGAAAAAGCTTTGTAGTTTTTGAAAATTGGTGCAGTGGCGGAGGAGAAAAAGGTCAAAAATAAAAATCGCTCGAATGTCGTTTTTTGACGTTTCAGAGGATCCTGATAATTTTTGGAAGAAATGTTAGTGGTTAAAAAATTAGGGGCTGGAGGGCTGTAGGAGATTTTTTAAATGTTAGTGAAATGAAAAGTGATAATAATTTGACAGAGTGTTTGAAAAAAATTGTTGGAAATGATCACCCGGCGTTTCTATGCATTGACGACGGTTTTAACAATTTCTCGACATTTGATTAATTATATAATAACTATTTTCTAGTCTGATTGCAGTGAACGACTATGCCAAAATTCGCCAAAACTGGCACAAGGATTTTTGAGATAATAGAAAAAATATGTGTGAACCTTGACACTCGAAACCCAGTCTTTTTAGGGCACATGCTTATATGAACTCTACTTACATTTCACTCAGGAGTGCGCTCGTGCGAAATAACACCCTTTATAATAGATGTTTTGACAATTTTGTCCAAGTTTAATTTTCATAACATTGTTCTTTAAACTTAGAGGGCTCGGATCGGGCTGGAAAGGCCCCCTGCCCGCCTGAATACGCCCATGATTATTGGCTGACCTATTACGTTGCTAGATCCCATTAATTTGTTGTGGATATGTCAAATAAACCGCCGTGAAAGGGCGTTGTACTTATAACTGCTATAACTTCACTCGCTTTCCAAGAAGAACTGTTATTATTAAAAGCAAATACCGTACAGAGTATTACGTCATTTTCGCAACAGCCGGTAGCATAGCTGCTACAGTTAAAAGTAAAAGTCGTTACGAGAAATTCTTTCATGAAATACTTAATCATCCAGTTGAGATAACTGTCTTGATGCAGTATGCGGCAGCTGCAGCAAAGAGCGGGAGTGTGTGTTTTGTCACATGTGTGTTATGTATATAAAAATAAAGCCGCTCTTGCATGGTCATTCACCTTTTGGCGTGTCTAGTTATAGTTCTCGTGAGAGGACAGGTACAAATCAAGAACGATGAACGAGTGAGACTGCTAAAAATACCTACAAAAAATAATTAGGCGCCTGAAGAATGAGTGACAGGTTTCTTTAAAACCGAAGGGTTGTCGAAGAGATGCTGCATTTGTCAAATAGTCACCCCTTTCATGTAGTTTAAAAAAATGGCGTCTAATAGGTTGAGTCTGCACTTTACGCGTAACGGTGTTATCAGTTCATAAAGGAGCCGCTCTGAGAAATAAGTCAGTTACGAACATCTAAGACAGACAAGAGTTAAATTTGACTTACACCACCGTTCATCAGATCAAGAACAACGATAATGCTCCTTGTGACACAGCCATGACAATAAACGAGTTTTGGGCAAGTAAAAACATTCCTGTGGCTCCAAAGCCGCCTTATTGACATGACTTTAGGGCCGTGTATCGTCAGTCTAGAAAAAAATAAATAATACAAACATAATGAAAACAAAATAACAACATGAACAAACAGATTAAAAATATGTGAATAAATAACAAATACACAAAAAAAGACGAACGAACAGATTGAAAACAGATGAAAAATAAATTGTTTGCAATAATTCAATTCGCAAGTCTGATGTTAAGTATTCTTCAATGCTGTAAAAAGGGTTTTCCATAAATAGACTCTTAACGCGGCATTGAAAAACATTGAAATTGGTGACAGCTCTGATAACAATTGGCAACCTGTTGAACAATCTGATAGGCATTATGAGGGGACCCTTTGCTGATAAAGCAAACCTATGTTGAGGGGTACGCAGGCAGTATGTATTCCTTAGATTGTAACCACTCTCCACATTACTTCGCGTCTGTTTGAAAACTATTTATGTAGTATAGGAAGACTATACATCAAGATAAATCAGAAAAATAATCGGATAAAAGAGTAGCTCTTCATTATTGAATAAGCGAAGGTTTCTCCCTTGATTATGTCTTTTTTATAGGTTTATAGGGCGAACATGATTCCAAAAAACGCGTAGGGAGTAAAAATGTGCGAGGTGTTGAATTAAGGCAAATAACAATTGAGTATCTGACGGAAATTGTGACAGATTTCCAAGGTTGCCATAAAAAGAAAAAGTTGACTAAGATCAACTTACTTTATTTAAAACCACACTGTCAGTATTATCAGTATTTACTGTCAGTGTGTGGGGTTCTACGGGATCTCATATATCAATAATTACTGACGTCCAGGCTACACGGTCAATAAATTCACATTCCATTGTAATTCTGACTGATCACAGTACGAGCCCCTTCCCACTTCAGTTGGCCCAACTATTGAAATCTTAGTTTTTTTCTTATCAAACACAAATAATAAAAATGTAGCAGGGTGTTATAGGTTTAAAATTTTAACAATGAATATTTTGATAATATATAGTAGAAAACACCAACTTTATCACTCCCTAATCAAATTTGCAGCATAAAAATAACACATGTTGCAATTACAGCATATCAACCTATTTTCATTTCAATGCAAAATAAGTCTATAACGCATAGGTGGCTGTGAAAAATAAAATCCATTACAATTGTTTTTATTAATCACAGCTGTCAGAATACGTTTAAAATAGTTTTGGGTAGTTAAGGTTTTCAAAATGGGTAGAGGAGAGGTTATTAGTGAGAAAATTCGGTTACTGATAATTAAATTTTTAATTC